GGTCGCGTTTACGGCCTCGATGGAGACGGCCGCATAAAGGAATAGGGTTTCCCCGTTCTCAGGTCGCGACATCATAGGAGGTTGCGAAAGGTTTTGCTTGAGATGGAGGAGGGCTTGCTTGCATTCCTCGGTCCATTTGAAGGTCGCCTCTTTGCGCATAAGTTTGAAAAATGTAAGAGCGTGTTGCATGGACTTTACCACGAAGAGGGAGAGAGAAGTGAGCATGTTGTTTAGAACTTGTATGGATTTCTTCGATCTAGGTGTAGGGAGCTCAGAGAATTCCCTACATCTGTCGGGGTTGGCTTTGATTCCTCATTCTGTTAAATAAAAACCGAGGAACTTTCTTGCCTTCCCCTCGAAGGTGCATTTCTCAGGGTTGAATCTCATCCTGCATTGCCTCGCTTGGGCAAAGACCTTTTTGAGGTGGGCAACATGATCGGTATCTGTTCGATATTTGACGATCATGTCGTCCATATAAACCTCAAGAATATCACTGGTCTCATCGCGGAAGACTCTATTTATCACCCGTTGGTACGTTGCCCCTGCATTTTTCAGGCCGAAGGGCATTACGTTATAGTAGTAATTGCCTGAGCTGGTCATGAAAGTAGTGCAATGCTTGTCGCTCATCGCCATTGGGATTTGATTATAGCCCGAGTAGGTATCCATAAATGATAAAATTTTATAGCCGGCCGAATGACCAATATGTCAATATTAGGCAAAGGAAAAGTGTCTTTGGGACATGCCCGGTTAAGATCAGTATAGTCAACACACATTCTCCATTTTCCATTATTTTTCTTAACAAGTACAACATTTAGAGTCAGGTTGAATATCACGCCTCGAAAATAAAATTAGCCTCTAGGAGGTCTTTTACAGCATTTTCAGCAGCCTCCGCTTTCTCGGGGGACTGCCTACATCTATGTTGTACTATTGCCCTAGCGGCAAGATCAATGGCCAAGTGGTGACAGGAGACCTCAGGGTCGATTCTGGGCATCTCCGTGGTGCTCCATGCGAATAGGTCTGCATTCTTCCTCAAGCAAGCTTTGATCTGCTTCGTCACCAGGTCGGGGAGTCCGATGTCGATCTTCACGCCTTTGTGAGGGTCTTCACCGAGGGGGATGAACTGGAAGTCTCTGTCCAGGATTGGTCGAAGGAGTTCCTGTTCGTTGTTGGGTTCTTCATCCTTGTCGAAGTGGGTGTCCAGTGAGATGGAGTCGACCTTGGGTGGAGCTCTTTGTTATTCTGTCTTGATGGGAAGCGGCTCAGATCGAGTAGCAACTTTCTTAGTAGGTTGTGCCCCGGTGTCGACCGTGCTCTGTTCCTTTGAAGTTGCATTGAAACATCTTCGGGAAGCTGAGATGTCTCCGTGGATGGTGGCGATGCGTCCCCTCCTCGTGTAGAATTTCATATTTAGATGGATGGTGGAGGGGACAGCGGCAATTCGACCAGCATTGGTCTCCCTAGGATGCAGTTGTAGAGAGACGGACAGTCGATGACCATAAATCACACCTTGACCTGTCGGGCGGCGATTTCCTCCCCGAAGGTGACGAAGAGTTCCATGTATCCCCATGGCTTGGAAGTCGAGCTATTAAAGCCTTGCAGGTCGGACCCCACATATGGTGAAAGGTGGGTGTCGTCGAGCTGCAAGGTTCGAAACAAGTGGCTATACATAACGTCGACAGAACTTCATTTGTCGACCAAGACACGGTAAACATCGAAATTATCCATTCTCGCCCTTACCAGAAGAGGGATGCTTGAGTTAGGGGCCCCTCCGGGAAACTCTTCGAGGTAGAATGTGATCAACTCTGTACTGCCCTTGACCTTCTCGAACATCACCGATTGATTCGGGGCTGTGTCGACCAGCTCATCGAGTTTCCTCTTTGCAGAATTTATAGATATGTCATTGAACCCCCCGCCATTTATAACCATGGCGGAGGGGAATTTTTCCCACCTACTGTGCATGGACAAAGGTTCTTCTTCATGTCTGTCAGGGACGTAGAAATCCTCCGGTCTTGTAACAGAGAAGGCTATTTAGATGGGGGCCGTTTCATTCGATGGTCGGGTGTCTTCCTCGACCTCTTTTGTCTCGCAGGCATCTCGATGAGGGAGTTATTGCATTGATATTTCCCGAGTCTAGCACCCTTAATAAGGTTTTCAATGACGTCTTTGAGATGGACACAATCTTCAGTTAGGTGTCCGTGACTTTGATGGTACTGACAATATTTGCTCCTGTCAGCCCCAAGCTTTGTAGGAGCAGAGCGAGGACGTTTGACGCCACCGTTCTTGAAGCCGGTATTAGCACACTCCGCCAAGATGCACTTGCGGGAAGCTTTCAGCAAAGTGTATTCGGTGAATCGCCCTACGGGCCCCTTTGCTCGTGGGGATCCTGTGGTTTGTCATCCCTCCTCTTCTCGCCCGTACATCGAGGAGGCCTTGCCTCCTGGTGTCGCATATTGTTGGTCGGTCCATGATTCCTTGGGTCGCAGGCTCTATTGGCCGCTTCTCTCTCCTCATAGTCCATATAGGACCTAGCCTTCTCGAGGAGAGCATCAAAGGTCAGGGGTGGTTCGATGCCTACGGTCTTCCTGAACTCTGTGCCTGGGAGGAGTCCTCTTTCGAGCAAGTATCTCTTCATGTGATCAATGCACGGGACCTGAATGGCCTCGCGGTTGAACCGATCAATAAACTCCCTGAGAGTTTCGTCGCTTCTTTGGACGATAGCCTCAAGGGCGGCCTTAGTCTTCAGATGTCGATGAGAGGTTTTGAATGAGCTGATGAACAGGTTTTTTAATTTTCTCCAGGAGGTGATCGACTGGATCCGTAATATCATCTTATTCCTTTAGTTGGGGAGGTTTCTCCATTCCCGGGGGAATGGGTGCCTCCATAATTTCCAGGGATAGGGGACCACGGGGGTCGTCTTCGTCGCTTCTATCTAGAGAACGAGAAGGTGACCTATTGTAATGGCGATCGTGATGGAGGCCCTGATCGCGGGGAGGGTCCCTCAGCTGGGGGCGCAGTTCTTCATTTCCCCTGTTTCTGTTTCCATGGGGTCTTCGTTCTTGGCACGGGGGAACATGGTCACGTCTCCCTGTATCGACAGGTTGATTCCTCTCTAACACGGAGCGACGCCCAGTTCTTCGGGGAGAGGGGCTTCGTGAGGCATCTTGTTTGCGTCTCCGCATGGGAGATTGGGGATATTCCTTTATCTGACGGGGAGGAGGAGAGTCAGGTCTCCTGTGTCTTCTGGGGGCTCTTCGAGAATCTTCGAGCATCCTTAATCTCTCACCTTGCGAGAAGATTAAGTAATTTGTTTGATTAATAGTCGCGAATAGAGCCCTGGTCATGGCATCAACGCCCACAGGGACGGGGACCTCCTGTAACGTGTTTGGCTGATAGTTCTAGGGAGGACGCTAATCGTCTTCAGGACAAGGACGACGGGGAGGCGGTCAGTCTGACTTTGTAGTTATGCGATGTGCCGAGCATGACGATGGTGTGACCGATGTTGTTATTACCAGCGTTGTTGTCGGTGTTGCCAGCGTTATTGTTACCAACATTGTTGTCGCCCACGTTGTTGTTGAGGCCGACGAGATGGGCATTTAGGTTGTTTTTTGCAGCTGGGTCAGCCATGACAGTCAAGAATTTGGAGTTGCTTTTGTATTAGGTAAGTGAAAGACGAGGAAGCTTGATTCCTACAGACGGCGCCACTGATCGTACCTGACCAGAATGGACCGTTACAGCTTATGTCGAGCAGAAGTTGAAAGTTAGGTGGGGGTACTTGCAAGACACTCTGATGCCAAAGTGAGATTCAGAATGATGCAAGCAAGTAAGAGTGACTAAGAAATGATCAATCCCTGACCCTCTAAAGTGAGAGGGTATTTATAGCCCCCAGCGCTGGACCAAGGTCCCCTCATTAGGCTGGGCAAGCCGACCCAAAGTGGAGACTGCCAGGTTCTACGTGAGTAGTGGAGACCAGCACGTGGTCCCCTACCTGGATGGATTCCTCCGCATGACCAGGAGGATATGGATGCGGTCTTTTTGAGGTTAAGTGAACTCCATGATATTCAAAGGCTTTAATAGTCAGTCCTACGAGGAGGATGTCCGTGGGGTACTTCTACCCGTCGCGCAGGATCCCTGCCAGCCATGAGACCGTATGGGAGGATCAGTCTTACTCGAGGAGAAGCCTGAAGGATACTCTCGAGCTCCTCTTGCCCGGTGATGCTCCTCTTGCCCGATGATGCTCCTTCTCGCATCTTCCTGAATTCATTCCCATGTGACGAAGCAGCGTCCTCTCAAAGAGTGGAAGTTATTACTCGACACAGTCGAAAACATATCCGGTTAACTGATTATAAATAACATAGTTGAATTGAGCCTCATATGAACTTTGACCAAGAATAGTTCTAGTCCAAAACAATTTATAAAGTACTTTTATTTATTTATTTATGTATGAAATTAGAAGAAGGAAGTTTGTATGAAAAAATAATATACTATTTTTACTAACCTGATGAATAGTTAGTGATCTTATATCCAAGAAAAGATTTTCCTAACTAATCCATTAATTTATTCATAGAACATTACTTTAGTTTGAAATATAAAAAAATAAATAATTTAAAATTTGTACTATGTAGGAATTGAGTGAGTATGTATTGGTGAGCTGTAGTCGAGGAAGACAAAGACAGCTCTCATGAGACCGTTTCTTTTTTTTAATAGTCAGATACGAAATCATCATCATGATTAAATAATAACAATAAATTCCTCGATAACTTAAACTATGATTAAATGAAAAACAAAGACTAGTAACGGTTAGTTTCATCTTTCAAATCAATAATATTGGGGAAATTGCGTGAAAAGCCTTGAACTTTTTGAAACCTTCCGCTTTTTCCACCAGTTTCTGTCCCTACAGACTCTACCCCATCAACCAAGCTTAAACCCACGCTCTTCTTCTTGTTCTTCTATTTCATCTCACTCATTAACCTAACCTTCTTTCTCTGAGCCTTTTCTTCTTCATGGGTTGTTCTTTCTTCGCTTGCTTTCGTTCCTCTAAACACAAAAAACTTACCGGCAAAGTTCAGGTAACTCTTCCTTCAACTTCAAGAACCTTAAGAGTTTTTTTTTTCTTTCTTTCTTTAATCTCTTATCTTAGATCAAAAATTTGATTTTTTATATTATTTTCCATTGCCCCTTTTGTTGTTTGCTTCTTAGGTTTTCTCAGCAGCCAAATAGAGCTAAGGTTTTGAATGTTTTTAACCCTATAACTTAATTTGTTGCAGGAAAATGGTAGTAGCAAGCCACAACAACAACAAAGTGTAGTACTACCTTTGGTTCAGGATCACCCCCAGAGTGAAACCCTTGTTAGCCCTTCACTACAAAAACTCCAGTAAGTATTGATTTTCATCTCCATTCATCCTTTCTATTTTTGGAAGCTTCTCATCTTTTTATGAATCTTTTGTTTTTTTGTGTGGGATTGATTTAGGGATAAAACTGAAGAGGAACTAAGTGTTGGCTTGAAAAAGAAAGTGACTTTTGAATCGAATGTGAAGACATGTGAATCTGTTTTGGCTGAGAAGGATACTGAAGAAGGTGTTGTGCGCAATACTGAAGGTGGAAAGGAAGAAAGTTCGGCTAAAACAACTCAATCAAAGTCATTTTCTTCTGAAGATAGTTCAGTGACTTCAACTGGGTCTTACCCTTCTAATCATAGGTATCAGAATTGCAGGGATAGTGACGAGGAAGATGAAGAACTTAATGATTGGGTTGATGATCTTAGCGATGATGATGATGATGGAATTAGGGAAGAACGTGATGAATTGGGTGTGGAGTTTGAAGAAGATGATATGGCATATTCAAAGTTGAGAGTGGTAGATGATGTGGATCATGTGTTTGCTGAGGAGGTGGAGAGTCCTATTCGTATCTGTGAAAAGGATGTGGAGACTATTGGACTCAACCCTAATGCTAGAGACAGAAGTGTTTATGTTCATCCTGTGTTGAACCCGGTTGAAAACCTATCTCAGTGGAAAGCTGTCAAGGCTAGAAGAAGACCAACATTAAGGCCTCAGAAAGAGAATAATGTTTGTTCCAATCCTGAATCACAGGTTGCATTTGGTGTTAAGGAAGTCTCAGAATCCGACAACACACCAAAGAAGTCGAACAAGGAAATTGCAGTTGATGCTAGCCTTTCTAATTGGCTTGGTTCATCAGAGACTACACCTGTTAACAAGACTACTTTGTATGCTGGTGGTAGTTTTGGTACTCCTGATAGGAGCAGCTCACAGCAAGGTTCAAACTCTGTGATGAGCCTGGAAGACAGGCCTATTTTAGGTGCTTTAACGGTGGAAGAGATTAAGCAATTCTCTGCCACTCCGTCTCCGAGGAAGTCACCTTCTAAGAGTCCAGATGATATGCCGATTATAGGAACAGTTGGGTCCTATTGGCATTTTGCTGAGGATTCTGGCTCAGCTTCATCCTTTAAAGGAATTCCAAACACAACTAGCAAGTATAGAGAGGTAAAGACGAAGTGAAATAAGCTGTTAAATCATTAGTTTGATGGTGAGTTTTTATTTAGATTTAACTGGTTGTGCAGGATAGGAAGGTGAATTGGCACACAACTCCATTTGAGACAAGGCTTGAGAAAGCAATGAATAGAGGTGATGTTAGTGATTCATGTTAATTTCTACTCCTTTGGGACACTACCCTATTTGAGACAAGGTTAGAGAAAACATTGAATAGAGGTGCTGCAGAAGCTGCTTCTACTTGTGTTCCCTGTGTGGCTTAGAAAAGTTTACAATGATGTTGCCTATGGGAAGTATATTGTGTTTGGAGTGTATTTTTTAATTCTTTTGTATGGATGAGATATGATGTAATGTGTGATTTGCTCTTGTAATATACTTGGCTTTAAAGGTACAATTATGGCTCTGTTTGGCAATACCATATTTTGAGCTTATAGCTTGTCCCTTATCTGTTTGGCAAGACAGCATTTTGAGCTTATAGCTTGTCCTTTGTCTGCTTGGCAAAACTGCATTCTGTAGCTTGTGCCTTATTCGTTTGACAAGACCGCATTATTTTGAGTTTATAGTTTGTGGCTTATACTTTTTTCAGCCTATTTTCATGCTTATATCACATTATTCTATGGCTCAGTAAGTTTCGTATAATAACTCTTTTGCCTTCTGTAGCTGCATTGCAAGATATCTTTCAGTCTTTGAGAAAAGTCATCTAGCCGAATCTTGAGATGTAAATATTTAATGCTGAATATATGTTACAAAACATAGTTTTAAAATTTTAATTAAGCTGGTGATTCTTGCACCTTAAATCATATATGCTTCAATGATAACAAGAAATCCTGGCATATGTTACAAATCAATCTTTACTTTTCAACTAAGTGATGAATCATCATAAATCTGGACTGTTTCACTTTCTCATAACAGTAAATACTCCAATGAAACGAAAAAGATATTCAGATGAAATAAGATCGCCATCCTTGCTTCTCTATGACCTTAACATTCTATCCCACATTGTGAAAGTACAGGACCTGTTTTCTTGGGCAAGAAAACATCAATTCGCACCCATATCATCGAGAAAATCAACGCTAGAAGTGTTGCCCACAAAACCACTATGATAGGAGTTTTGTTTTGCCTTCCCATCAGACCTTTGAGGAAAGGATACAAGTGAACAATAACCCAGAAAGAGAAAAAAACCTTCCCAAATAAAAGTCCCCATGAGTTATAGCCACTATTAATAGCTTCAGAGACTCCAGCCACAATTCCAACCATATTCAAAATTACAATACTTGTTGGTGGGATGAGAAGAGTTGTCCACTTGAAGAGATGGAGCTGTCCAAATGCAGCGCTGTCTGTTGATTTCGTTCTCACAGTGAAATTAGTGTTTAACCCTGCAACTTTAAGGAGGCCTTGAAACACTGCAAAAAGGTGTGCAGAAACACCTCCAATGACCCAGAATTGCTCGTTGCGCCACCAGTCCTGAATGTTAACCTTACTCCAACGAAGCTCTAGCACACAAGTTAGAATGATCGAAATAAATAGAGTCATTAACCAAATGCTTGCAAGGCTTGTCAGCTGTACAAAAGATAACTTTTGTTATTAGACATGATTATAATATCCTCATTATTGTTTTCCTATTGTAAATTTACTCTGATGAACTTACAGTGGGGAGGATGAATTTTCCGGTCAGAAGACAGATAGCCGGAATTATGCAGTATACCAAAAGAGGGATGGAAGAGAACGGATAAACGATATGGTTCGTGTAAGCGAGCCTTTGAAGCCATTTAAGTTTTCCACTATAGCCATACCACAATGGACAATAACCACTAAAGAAAATCTCAGTAGAACCCGAAGCCCATTTCAGAACTTGATGTAATCTATCTGATAGGTTTATAGGAGCAGATCCTTTAAAAGCCGCTCTTTTAGGCATGCAGTATACTGATTTCCATCCTCTGCAATGCATGTTAAACCCTGTCAAGATGTCTTCTGTGATTGAACCATAAAGCCACCCTATCTGCAAAGAAAGAAAAGTCAATCAATGATACTTGGTCAACAATCATGAAATGTATATTCTTGTTTTTATGATTGTATTGATTGTATTACCTCTTTGCCCCATTCAGTTTTCTCTTCATATCCAATACTAATAACATGAATAGCTTCTTTCACCAGTATTCGCGTATTAGTGCCTTTTGGAAGTCCACCATCTTCCATCAAGGCAGAAGCAATGAAAACCGGCGACTCTCCGAACTTTTTCTCAAAAAATTTAAGGGACATGAAGGATGATTCCTTTTGTTCCTCATTGTCTTCAAGAAAATCATCAATCTCTTCAACATCAAGTTCTGAACGAGAGTCATCAGAACAACAACAGCAGCATGAAAAGCCCGTCTTTTGTCTTTTCTCGGTTGGTGGCTTATAGCCATATAATGCTTGTCTGTTGAACACACATCCAGTACCAACATAAACTGGACCTTGAATTCCATCAAGGCATTTCATGTTGATCTACAAACAAGGAAAAAAAATTCAAGGCAAGAGTTAAAGATCAGCTAATGAAATCGCAACTTGCATTGGAGTTTAGAAAAATATCCCTTACATCAAAGAATACAGTGTTGTGATTAGCATATCTATCATTGTCGTCGATGCCATCAAACCTTCGCGGAAATTGGACATAAGCGGTCTTCTTCCCAAGTAGAGGGTCCATGAGAAAGCACATAGCCTCCCTAATAGCCTTGCTATTATTGATGTATTGATCACAATCCAGATTCAACACAAAAGGTGCATTGCTAAGCACAGCAGAAACTCGAAGCTGTTGAGGAAATGAAGCATTTCAAGTGTCATGAATAAACAGTTTTTATAATATCAAGTTTTTGTAATTGAATGGAATAAAACTATATACTAGAAGTTTAAACTACTTACCAGAGAATTCATTGCTCCAGCTTTGTTATGGTGTTGATAGCCAGAACATTTCTCGCGCGAAACATACACAAGCCGTGGCAGTGACTTGCCTTCATTGTCTACAGCCCCAGCACTTCCAAGACACACCTACAAAGATAAGTGCTTATACGTTTTAGTTCTTGGTTTATAGTCATAATCCAAATGACATGTTTGGACTGACTTACTTAAGTATAGATACTGACATAACTTAAGCACTTGTTAAACTATTTGAGAGAGCTTATGAAAATAGCTTATTACAATGTCCATGAGTTGTTTTCGGATTATTATCATAAACTCTTCACGATATCATATTGAAAAAAATTGACTTGATTTTTTGGTTAATGAAATTTGCAAACCTGAATCATTCCTGGATGATTGTCAGTGTTATTCCCAGGCCATGGAGTACCATCTTGCAGCACCCACCCCTCTTCTGGTTTTTTCTGAGACTCTGCGACAAGTACATTAATTCTCACCTTGAATTCTTCGTACTCTCTCTGCATATATTGCAATGGAAAACGCCTTAAAGCCTCACGTAGAAAAATAGAACAATATCAATATGAAAAAATAATTTTTTAAAAACATCAATGTAGGATTTACCTTCATAGCTCTGCGGTCCTTTACAAATGTTGGAAGTACCTTGTCTTTCAAGTAATCAACTTTATGAGAAAAATAAGACTCGGGAGCTCTTGGCTCAATGTTATACTTTTTACAAAACGGAATCCATATTCTTGCAAACTGAGAAGTTTGTGACAAAGTATCAAAGAGAAGCATAGAAGCACTGTCATCGGAGACGTAGCAGCTAACTTTGTCAACGGGATAATCAACAGACAAGATTGATAGAACTGTGTTTGCTGTTATAATAGGTGGTTCCTTCAAAGGGTCTGCAGTGGTAACAAAGACATCAACTGCGGCTAAAAGGTTCGGCCCCCCATCGCGCTCGAATCTCATGGACAAGCGCTCCAAGTAAGTTTCGCGAGTCATGGGGAACCACTTGGGGAATTGATCTATTACCCAAGACAAAGAAAGCCATATTTCACAGATCACGGAGATTATCCATAAGGCAAATGCATCATGCACAGGAGTTGTGATGCGGAAGTGAAAGAAGAAAACTAGGACAATGAGACGCATGACTATGACTATGCGGTATGGATTGATTAGGCTCGAAGCTATTGGAACCTTACGACATAATGGTTGCCTCGACTCAGCCAAACTGCAAGATCATGAGAATAGAAATTTATGAAACACATAAATTAAGAAAATGTATTCTAATTTACATAAAGTAGTAGCGTTGAATCAATGATAGAGTATTTGAGTGAAGACAAGTTACAGGTATTCATCTTCTTCTATGTCATTGCTCATAAGACTTCTCTTTTCTTGATTTCCTTTCCCTTTCTCTTCATTATAGTTGAATGATTTATGCTCTTCAAAATCCTTATTAGCTACTACAGAACAGCTCAGAAAATCATGCAAAAATTATATAAATATCAGAAAGCTCAATAAGGAAAAAGATGCTCGCTACTCACCGCTTCCGGCCAAAGAGAAAGCATGATCATTGTGTTTCCTTTGCTGTTGAATATTGCAGTCTCCATTTTCCTGTAAAAGACACAACACAACAACAAAGCCTTAAACTCATATTCATTATTCTAATGTTCAAGTTGTAGCTATTTAAAGTTTCATGTAACAGAAATAATTATAGTAAAGTGTAAGAGGAAGAAGAAGAAGAAGCAGCATGTTGAGTACCTCATCTGAGTCATCAAAGACTGAGAAACGGTATCCATTTCGGGAGTGAGAACCAGTGGTTAAAGCTTTTGAGGCCATAACAGAAAGAGAAAGTTGTGGAGCTGAAGATTGCAGAAAGAGGAAGTGAAGGAGGGTGTTATTATAAGAAGGAAAGAGTATCAAATGCATGAACGCGGTAATATCAAAGTAACCATCAAAATATTTAGGCACATTATGAGAGTTGAGAGGTCATAGATTTGAGTTGAAATGTATGGGATGATCGCTTTGCCAATATTGCTACTTTGGTTTTTCTGCATAATATGCATGCATGCATGTGTGTTGAAAGCTGATGAATATGTCTATATTGTTTGTTAGTGTTGTATTAGATTAGTACTTGATGGAAATTAACATCACTCAATTTTAAGTTGGCACATCATAAATTTGGCATCTTTTATTGTTAGTTTCTTTTTCTATGGGTTGTTAAGATATCAAAAGGAAAGTGAGCAAATCTATTTACGTCTTTTTCTTTTTCTTTTCAGCACTTTTCTGAAAATCCATTCCACTTGCATTGATAACTTGATAAGCACAAAATGTTAAGCATGTTTGTTCTTGTTAGTGCCAATAAATAAAAGTGGCTCCCCTTTAACTATTTCATTTTATATACTTTTTGTTAAATGTTGTTCCGTTATGGAAAATAGAATTATCTGTTATTTGATGAGGTAAAATTTGGATGTGGTGGGTGTAAATCTTCGATGTGATTACACAAGAGTGTACTTGTAAAGTTAACATTCAACACTCAATTCATTGAGTGAATAAAAAAGAATGGAATGATGATTAGAATCAATACCTTAGACTACACATGTGATTATTTATATATGATAGATGATAAGTAGATTTATAATGTATTGGACTTATGAGTGATCTAGAACAGTTGTCCCTAAGGCTTGTCATGGTATAACAAACGTAAAGCCTTTTAAAAAACGGGGCCGGATCCTCTATGTTAGGATCTTTATGTGGAGAAATGGAAGAGATTCAGAGAACATTTACATTAAATGTTAGTCTCATCATTGAGACATTTCAAAGGATTTCTTCACACGTGGGCCTTAGGTTCGTATGATAAGGCGTTATGCTTCCCTCAAAGATGTTCGAGTTCACTCAAGTGATGTTTCATTTTTTGAGGTGAGATTTAACTGTTGCTTTTTATCTTCCCATTTTCTTTCATTCTAGACCATCAATTTAATCATTTTGCTTTACTATATAAGGATTATCTTGGTCGTTTAAACGATTTTCGTACCCTCTTGCAAACCGAGACTTACCTTTCTTTCTATAAGCCCTTTCATCCTTCCTTGAGCTCTGGTGACCTTTGATTCCACCATATTCTCTTTATATCCGGGTTTTGCGTTCCCTAATTTACTATCATCTCCAAATATTTGTTTTCTTTAACTGTTTCCTTGCTTAATCCCCTTTTCATGTACCATTTATCGTCCTCCTCCTTGCATTTTGTTGTTTTATTCCTTTGTTCTTATAATGGCCAATGTAGTAAATATACCTGAAAACATGACAAGAAACTCTGATAATGGTGATTCTTCATCATCCATTTAGATTGAAAACTCAAATAATCCAAATGCTAGCCCTTTAGAGATCAATTGACTCAACCCCAATCTTATCATGCTTAGCGATATTTCCGGGTTTGGTGTAGATTCTATTAAAGATGGTGATAAACCCTTTAGTGGCTCATCCTATGAGAGTACCGACGAGTCTTCTAAAAATGATGGATGAGGGATAATGGTACTCTCGTTACGAAGGTCGTAGTTGTCAATTCTTTTTCTTTTTCTTTTTCTTCTTCTTCTTCTTCTTCTTCTATTCAACCTCTTTTAGCTTTAGATATAGTTTTTCAAGATGAGTAGAAGAACTGTTATTTCATGAGATCTTTTAGGGAAACAAATGGTCGGTACCCCACTGTCATAGAGATTAGGGATCATATTAATTTTCAAAACCGTTATACAGTTTTGACTGGTATTATCTTTTTCATGACAGTCTGGTAGACATGGTTTGTCGGGATCGTAAAGGCCAGGTCCTAGCTCCTGATGTTGAACTATACAGATGGGTAGATCAGACTTATTGAGTATTCCTACTACAACAATGCTGCCGAGCTAGAAGAGGCATGCTCATATTGAGGTCTATCTTGCAACTGGTCGATCTCTCATATTGAAGCCGACAAGAGAATCTATAATTCTTTTGAAGGGTGCTATATTCCCTTTATGAGTGCTTATTCTCTAGGATGAAACTCATACTATCTTTTACAAAATTTGGGGAAGGGGTACTCAAGCATCTAAGGGTTTCCTCCTTTCAATTAGATACATCGACCTAGAACTGCGTTGGGATGTTCAAATACTAGTGTGAATATTAGGATCAGAAGCCTTCATTGAATCTCTTCTTTGACATATTCATCGTCATTTGTAGTTCGGTAAAAGGGGAACAAGGACGGGGTATGGTCTCATTGCATCAAATAAAAAGTGTTACACGTCTACCTTGAAAATTGGAAAAAATTCAAGGATCATTACTTTTTGGTGACCCCTGGACCACATATGCTCATTTGTGTTCGGTAGAGTCCTCAAACCTTCTCCGTCCACCCCCTGATCTAGAGCCGACTAAATGTAAGTATAAGATCTAGAAATGTAGGATTCACAATCACTTTAGCCAGGATTCGAACACCTATATTATTACTTTTGACTCTCTGAACCTAGAAGAGGAGTCGAGGAAATATGTATTGATAACCTATTGGGAGGGCCTGAGATATGATGAATCATCTAGCTCCTATAACACACCGCTCTCTATGCCAAATCGAAGAATAATTAACACCCAGGCGGTTTTGGATGCGACCGCTGCTAAGGATATGAGATAACTCTTTGGTGTGGAGAGAAATTTTAAGTTTAACTTTATTTTTATTATTCTTATAACATTTTAATGATCTATTATCTTTGTTTTTTTCTACATATAATATGGAACCCGTTAAAAATCTCTTATGAAGGAAGAAAACCATGATGACAACTAACACGCTTCAAACTCCTCACTACTATAAAATATATTATAATATCTTTTTATATTATTTTATATGATCTCCAAATTAATATAAAATATTCTAACATTAATGAATGGATCAATGAACCGAACCGACCGAACTCAATATCCGTAAATCGCTCAGACCAGATTACTTTTCGGTTTTTTGATTTTTGACAATCTCGAAACATGTTTTCTATCTCTTAATCATTAAAGATTTTAAGACATATTCTAACAGTATACAAATGTTCATACCTCAACATAGCTATAATTATTTAGACAACACAATTGTCAAAGCTTCACAAGAAAATGCAGGAACACATACAAATTTTTTTATTCAACTTTTCACTAGAAACCATCCTACATGACATTGTTCACCAACAGGTGAAGAGGTAAACTTATTAAGCTACCAACAACAACCACAAAAATATGAAAACAACAATAACCATCTAGGATGGAGACATTATGCAATAACATCCAAACAACAGCCATACCAGAATTATACTCAGACTCCTCTGGAAAAAGACATGATTTCAAAATTGAGGATACTTTGAATCAGTTTATGTAGCTATGTATGATAAATCTAAAGAAAATTGCTCCATCAATTAAAAATCTTGAAACCCAAGTTAGTCAAATAATCAAGCAATTAGTCTAACAACAAGGTGAAGAATTCAAGACCACCACTCAAAACAACCCAGATGAGAAATATGAAGCCATTTCAACTAGGAACGAAAGAGTGAATGGATATAATATTTATAAAGAAACATAAAAAAATGTTGTTGAAGAAGAAAATGGGAAATAAGCAGGAGAAAAGAAGTCGGAGAGAGGTGTAAGTGAAGAGGCACAAACAAAAGTTATAGGAACAAAGAAGGAAAAGATATAAAAAAATCCACATATTCAGAATCTTCCTGACACACACACTGAATCCAACTAAGAAAAGTCCATATTCAACATTTTTTTACACTCTCAAAATAATGCTGATAAGACCATCACTCTTTGAAACCTTGAAGCAACTTCTTACCTATCTCAAATTCATAAAAGAGAATGTGGAGAAGAAAAGAAGATATATTAAGGAACCTTAATACAAAGAGCTAATGACGTTAAAAAAACGCTTATTAGGAGACAACCTGATTTTCCAGCTTTAAGTTTTCTTTTATGAAAATTTTACTTTCCTAATTCAAACAGGAAAAATCAGGTTTTGACAATTTTATAGAATTTTTCTAGGCGAGCTTATATGTTCACTAAACAAAGACTTCCCTACCCATCGAAACATTAGTGTCTCCAGAAAAAAATTTAGGTCCCAGATACAAATTATGATTCAAAACCCCAAACTTTTCCGAAGGGGAAGGATGATCCTGTGAGCAAACCCTTCATATAATTGGTTTTGAATGATAGAAAATATATGTGAAATAATCAATGAATGTTAAAAACGCTTTACCTACATGTGTGCATTATAAAAAATATAGTATAACATGTTTAAAATGAGTTAAGAATGTGTTTTACACATAAAACACTGTTATGAGTCGACACAAACAGCTTTGCATCGACGCATACTTAAGCAAAGAATCATAAAAACGATTCTGCTTCAGTATGAGTCGACACATCCATGATATGCGTCGACTCATAACATGTTGATGCCCCGGAATACAACCTTCAACCTTTATGCATCGACCCATAACTTCATGCATCGATACATGATATGTTGATGTCCCTGGAAAACATTTTTGAACTTTTATGCATCGATACATAACATCATGCATCGACTCATAACACGTTTTTTCTTCAAAAATCAAAAGTACAATTCAGTATGTGTCGACACATACGTGTTATGCATCGACTCATGTAAAATGGTTGGCTATGTAATATGCTGTAACATCTTCTTGCATCGACTCATTCCGTGTTACATAACTAACATGAGTCGACTAATGCTAACATGCATCGACTCATAATACGAATTTCTGTCTCTAACCGTTTTCTGTTTCATATATAAGTAAGTTTTTCTCAGCAGGAAGAAAGCATGACACATATTACAATTGTGA